CCTCCTCCAAACACAAAACCCCACATTTGTGAGCCTCCTCGGAACAATCTCAGCCTCTGCGGGAACACAACTCTCCACCTCCCCCCCCCTTTGAGAATCTACTCCCCCAGACTCCCACTCATGCCTGTCTGTATTTCCCCAGCTGTGCGGCCGCTGACGGAGGTCCCGAAGTCTCAGCCCAGAGGAGGCTCCCCTGGCGGGGGAGGGAGGCTGCCCTCTCAAGGAGGTGAGTGACTACATGGCCATCAACCACCACCATCATCACCACCTAAACTTTCTACGGAGTCTTCGGGCCTCCAACTGCCAGGCACTTGTGCAAAATGTCTCCCCCGCCCCCATGTTGGCCACGCCTCCTTCTCCCTCCCACAAGCAACAGGGTCATTGCTCCTGTACTGTCAGTCAGAATGATGGAAGTACACGGCAGCTTCCAGCGGAGGCTTTTCTCACTGGTTTAATGCTTGATTCCACTTAAAGGGAACTCTAGGTTGTTGTTTTCGGTTACAAAGTTTCTTATTTTTGGATTTTCTTTTTAATCTACTTTTTTCTTCTTTTTAGCAGACCGAAGCTCCTCCTTCCAGGTCCACGTCTCTCCGCTCCTCGTCACGCTGTGCCTCTTCCTCCTCGTCTGCTTCTGACGCGCGCTGCCTGAGAACGGACTGTTCGGAGCCGCCACGTCTGCCCCCTCCTTCTAACACAGGAGCCGGAATCAGACCCCCCACCTCCCCGCTTTGGAATTATCGTGCCATTTTCAGAATTCGACGTTCCGCGGAGGGCGGAGACTGGCGCTGCGTGCGGACTTCAGCCGGCCGGATCAGTTGCACAATTTTTTTTTAAAGGACTCCGGACCCCCAAACCCGAAATATCTATTTTTATACAAAAACTGACGAGTTTAGGAATTCAGCACTTTACGGCGAGGAGCAAAATGTCGCGTTATGGAGATTTTTTTTTTGTTTTTCCTTTTTGTGCCTTGTTGGACTTTCTGCCGCGATGAACAATTATTGCCCCCCAACTCCCCCTTCCCAGGGCGGATGATCTGCCCCAGCGGTTGGGATGAGACTCTGGCTCCGCCTTTATTCCGCGTACGGTGCAGGTAGGTGTGAACCAGAGCGAGTCCTCCGCCCTGTACATAGTGGCTGTCCATGGCAGATGTGCCCGGTCACATGACCTCCTCCCGAGGCATTGGTCATGTGATCTCAGTGTGTCTGTCTCTTCTCTTGCAGTTTGTGGAGCCCTCAGTAGCGGCGCGCCGGGGAGGGGGCGATTGCCGACGTGCCATGCCAAGAGGTTATTTTTCACTTTCCTGACCAAAGACGCGGAGCGGCGCTATCCGCACGCGGAGTTATCGATCTGTGGATGGACGGAGGCGTCGGCCAACTTGGGGTAACCCGTGATTGCGCACAACAATCGGATCCGATCACCGCCAGCTTCATGGATCTTTTGGGTTTTTAAAAAAAACTTTTGTGTCTGATGGACAGGCGATGGATTTCTAGAACTTTCCAACCCCTCCCCCTCCCCTTTGTCGGGCTCCGCCCCCGCGGGGCGATATGTTCTCTGGAGAACAGGATGTGTCTTCCGTGAAGATGACGTGTTGCAGTATTTGGCCCGTTTACAGATATTTTTTGTATAGATTTATGCGGAGAATATTTTTTTTTTCTTTTGTTAGAAACTGAGCCAAAAATAAAATATTGTGAACACACGACTCCCCCCGCGCTGTGCCTGGAGCATCCCCCAACACGGCAGGGTTATTAT